TAAGGTGAAACCCGTGAGTGAAGCAGGTTGTTGAGATCGGCCAGTTAGGTGAAACCCTCTAGTGAAGCAGGTTGTTGAGATCGGCCAGTTAGGTGAAACCCACGAATGAAACAGGTCGTTGAGGTCTGCCACTAAGGTGAAACCTACGAATGAAGCAGGGTGTTGAGGTCTGCCGCTTAGGATGAAACCCACAAGTGAAGCAGGTTGTTGAGGTCTGCCACTAAGGTGAAACCCACGAATGAAACAGGTTGTTGAGGTCTGCCACTAAGGTGAAACCCACTAGTGAAACATGTTGTTGAGTTCTGCCAGTGAGGTGAAACCCACGAATGAAACAGTTTGTTGAGGTCTGCCACTAAGGTGAAACCCACGAATGAAACAGGTTGTTGAGGTCTGCCACTTAGGTGAAACCCAGGAATGAAACAGGTTGTTAAGGTCTGCCACTAAGGTGAAACCCACGAATGAAACAGGTTGTTGAGGTCTGCCACTAAGGTGAAACCCACTAGTGAAACATGTTGTTGAGTTCTGCCAGTGAGGTGAAACCCACGAATGAAACAGTTTGTTGAGGTCTGCCACTAAGGTGAAACCCACGAATGAAACAGTTTGTTGAGGTCTGTCACTAAGGTGAAACCCACGAATGAAACAGTTTGTTGAGGTCTGTCACTTAGGTGAAACCCGTGAATGAAGCAGGTTGTTAAGGTCAGCCACTGAGGTGAAACCAACGAATGAAGCAGGCTGTTGAGGTCATCCACTGAGGTGAAACCCACTAGTGAAACATGTTATTGAGGTCTGCCACTGAGGTGAGACTTACCTTTCATCCTACATTACGTCAGCAGAAGCATGAACTAGTCTGAGCCTAATACTGAACAATCGTATTCCCGCTGATCTGCTGACAGAGCCCCAGCAGCAGTAAAGGGCCATCTATCTGGTATCAAGGAATCAATTGAAACTCGACACCTCTACCAGCGCTTCTCAGTGGAATGAAGCGAAGCGTTATTTTACCATGGATCATAAAACATAATGTTCATAAGTTTTAATCATAACGAAATATAATAACGGTTAATCCCCCGGGAGCGACCAACACAACCTTGCAGCAAGTCTAGTTTCACCCGAGCGATGCAGTTCAGTAATATGATTACCATGTGGAAATTGTGAGTTAATCCTTAATGGCAGAAAACCGAGCAATGTGGCAAGTACCTGCTGGTTTGGAAACGATTCTCCAGCCCCGTTCAAGGTGTCCTGGGAGGGGGTATCACAAGACGTTGACTTGAGGGAATCGATAAGTCTTTACAGGAACATGCCCCTTCTTACAAAACAGGTCATCTCGCCAAGCACCCAGGAATAACCGACCGTTGATCATACGCTGTTTTAACAACGAGCTGGTGATTAGAATGTGTTATGGCATGGCTCAACAGGGGGAGCAATTGATTGGCGCGCACATAAACCTGCTGCACATCACCCACAAGCGAAACAATCGATCAGGAACCACTCACGTCTCTCTTATCACGTTAGGACATAAACAACATGCCTGCATTTAGGGAGAAATCGTCCAATCAATGTGGCTGTTATGCCAGGCCCGTGTTTTTCACTGTTAAAGAGCATAAAATATTCCTTAGACCCGTTTTTCTCAAGCTAATCATTTGTAAGGGAGCAGTGAGTGAGTATGGTTTTATGCCGATTTTAGCAATATTCCAGCAATATCAGGGCGGGGGACAAAAGAAATGGCCTTCACACGTTTTAACCATGTTGGGAATAGAACCCGGGTATTTTGCGTGACGAGCGAAAGCTTTAACCACTAGTCTATCTAATCGCCCCTTTATAGGATGTGTGAATGATTTGATACATTTGTGTGTGATTGGGTATGGCATGTAGGTATAGGTGTATAGGAGCGCTGTGAGATGCGTAGGGGGCGCTGTGAGGTGTGAAGACGGCACGGTGAGGAGCATAGGGGGCGCTGTGAGATGTATAGGGGCGCTGTGAGGTGTGAACACGGCGCGGTGAGGGGTATAGGAGACGCTGTGAGATGCGGTTTCACAGGGGGCGCTGTGAGGTGTGAATAGGGCGTGGTGAGGAGTATAGAGGTTGCTGTGACGGTGGAGGGGGCGCTGTGAGTTGGTATTGCTTGGTGATGTAGGTAAACATCCGACGTATGAAGACGTCTGGAGGTCGTGAAAGGTGAACTGACTGCCGAGTTGCCTGGTGAGCGGGTCCAGTCACCCAGTGTGAGCAGGGCGGGATGTCCAGGTGTATCTGATTAGGAAACTATTGTCCATATCACGCCCCACCACAGTAACGAGGACATAGCCGACACTAACTGCACATCAGCTGAAGGATATATGTCCAAGCTGTGCTTGAAAGACGACCTATTAACGATGAAGATGACTTAAAGATGGACCCATCTCCGGCCAGCCTCCTGAGGCGAAACAAAAACAGTTGCCATCCTGCTGTACACGAAGGTTCCAGGAGAACACAGTCATATCAACAACGCAACACACACAACACTACAACGTTACACACACAAGACTACAACGTTACACACACAAGACTACAACGTTACACACACGAGACTACAACATCGTTACACACACAAGACTACAACGTTACACACACGAGACTACAACGTTACACACACAAGACTACAACGTTACACACACACGACTACAACGTTACACACACAAGACTACAACGTTACACACATAAGACTACAACGTTACACACACAAGACTACAACGTTACACACACAAGACTACAACGTCGCTACACACACAAGACTACAGCGTCGTTACACACACAAGACTACCACGTCGCTACACACATAAGACTACAACGTTACACACACAAGACTACACTGTTACACACATAAGACTACAACGTTACACACACAACACTACAACGTTACACACACAACACTACAACGTTATACACATAAGACTACAACGTTACACACACAAGACTACAACGTTACACACACAAGACTACAACGTTACACACATAAGACTACAACGTTACACACACAACACTACAACGTTACACACACGAGACTACAACATTACACACACAAGACTACAACGTTACACACACAAGACTACAGCGTCGTCACACACACAAGGCTACAACGTTACACACACAAGACTACAACGTCACACACACAAGGCTACAACGTTACACACATAAGACTACAACGTTACACACACAAGACTACACTGTTACACACATAAGACTACAACGTTACACACACAAGACTACAACGTTACACACACAAGACTACAACTTTACACACACAAGACTACAACTTTACACACACAAGACTACAACGTTACACACACAAGACTACAGCGTCGTCACACACACGAGACTTCAACGTTACACACAAAAGACAAAAGCGTTGTTACACACACGAGACTTCAACGTCGTTTCACACACACGACTACAACCTGCCTGCTGTCATTGTGACCATGTTTTCTTTATTATGTTGGTATGACTATGGTTTATAATGACGGTATGACCATGGTTTATAATGACGGTATGACCATTATTTATAATGACGGTATGACAGTGGTTTATACTGTCGATATGACCATGGTTAAAAATGTCAGTATGACCCCGGTTTAAAATGTAGGTATGACCACGGTTTAAAATGTTGGTATGACCACGCTTTAAAATGTCGATATGACCATGGTTAAAAATGTCGATATGACCATGGTTTAAAATGTCGGTATGACCACGCTTTAAAATGTCGATATGACCATGGTTAAAAATGTCGGTATGACCATGGTTTAAAATGTCGGTATGACCACAGTTTAAAATGTCGGTATGACCACAGTTTAAAATGTCAGTATGACCACGGTTGAATGACGATATGACTGTATGTTTGACCACAATCATTTCTATCAGAGAGTGGCGTCTTTAAGGATTGAGAAGGGGGACGCAGTGTGTTTCAGCCGAGGGAGCCTGACAGCCATGTACACAGAACGTGCACAGCGCGATGAGCTCCCAGTTCCTCTGTTCATCAGCTTCTGGTTCCCCCGACCTGACTGTCTGACGACAGACTTCCTCCACTGAGCAAACACTCTGCCGCACTCTCCATCTCAAATCAATGGCTCGATCAAATCTGTAAACATCAACGTTCTGCTGTGAGGCAATAGTCAGCGAATAAACGTCCTTCTCAAAGACTCCCTTTACTTAAATGTACCGTATCTTAATTCCGGCAAAGCAATAAATTCCCGAGCTGGGCAATCATATTCAGTCCATTTCACCTTCTGAGGGCAAGGCATTTTACCAGATGAGCGTTACCCATTCAATAGGCCCCAATCAGACGGCAGTAATCCCCTCCCTGCAGTAGACGTTCACCCCCCTCTGTGAAACATCTCATCTTAAAGGCATGTTCAAAGTGGGGCGTTACGACATCGATTGGACCTAAATGTTACTGAATGTGGTAATAAGGCCACCGTTAAATCTGTTATATCCTGTCTTCACCCAGAGACAGTTCTATAGCGGTAACGTACTGCCTGGCGTTAATCATAAGACCCTACCCTCGGACATCGAGTAGGTCTTGAGTTGTGAGTAATTATATAATTTACATCCAGGCATCAGATCTGACGACAGGGGTAGTGTCGTGGTTGATGTCACGTGTGATGATGGGGAGTAATCTGTATACTTAATGACGTAGAAGATGAGGCACTGAGTGGAGTGGGTTGGTGCCACTTGAGTTAACGCCGTCAAGTCTGTGATGAAATGGGTCGGATCCTTCAAGGGCACTAAACCATTAAATCAGTGCTTGCTAGTTATCCAATTCCATTGATCGCCTCCTCGCCCTGCCCTCGTTGACGACCCAGGAGCCGTTGTATTCACGTCCCGGGGGATGTGGAGAGTGGGGTTAGGCGCAGATCGATGTGGTTTCCCCCTTCCCTACATCACCAGCCACGGGATTTGCAGCAGACAGTGTCTATCTAACACGGGGTTGTGAGTATCTACACATCTTATCAAACTGGCGGATCCTGCAGACTCCAGTGTAGCGGATCCTGCAGACTCCAGTGTAGCGGATCCTGCAGACTCCAGTGTAGCGGATCCTGCAGACTCCAGTGAAGCGGATCCTGCAGACTCCAGTGTAGCGGATCCTGTAGACTCCAGTGTAGCGGATCCTGCAGACTCCAGTGTAGCGGATCCTGCAGACTCCAGTGTAGCGGATCCTGCAGACTCCAGTGTAGCAGATCCTTCAGACTCCAGTGTAGCGGATCCTGCAGACTACAGTGTGGTGGATCCTGCAGACTCCAATGTAGCGTATCCTGTAGACTCCAGTGTAGCGGATCCTGCAGACTCCAGTGTAGGGGATCCTGCAGACTACAGTGTAGCGGATCCTGCAGACTCCAGTGTAGCGGATCCTGCAGACTCCAGTGAAGCGGATCCTGCAGACTCCAGTGTAGCGGATCCTGTAGACTCCAGTGTAGCGGATCCTGTAGACTCCAGTGTAGCGGATCCTGCAGACTCCAGTGTAGCGGATCCTGCAGACTCCAGTGTAGCGGATCCTGCAGACTCCAGTGTAGCAGATCCTGCAGACTCCAGTGTAGCAGATCCTGCAGACTACAGTGTGGTGGATCCTGCATACTCCAATGTAGCGTATCCTGTAGACTCCAGTGTAGCGGATCCTGCAGACTCCAGTGTAGCGGATCCTGCAGACTACAGTGTAGCGGATCCTGCAGACTTCAGTGTAGCGGATCCAGCAGTGCTTCCCAGCGGGTCAGAAATGTCACTATTACTTGACATCTGGTAGCATGTACCTGCAAGATGCTGGAGAAACTGCTGTACTGGTTGCCGTATGTATAGCCAAGGAGTAATGATGCATTCTCATTAAAATCAGATCTTAGTTCTCACTACGGCAAAACAAAATAATTACAGGTCATGTCAGAACGACCTTTCGCGAACTTTGATCGACCAATGACATGGCAAACAAGAAGTCGACGGCACTAGTTTCAAAGTGGCAACAGCGCTTTGAAAAATATTTTGACATATTTTCGATTCAAATTTTGTAAACCGTATAAAAGTCTAAATGTCTAAGAGGTGGCCTAGACTGTACGGCAGTCTCTTCCCTTCGAATGTTTATCACACTGAAGCAAGAGACGGACGATGATTTGGATGAATTCAGTCGTGAAGCCCTTAACTGTCGTTCGGAATAAACCGTGTTAATTTTTTCGAGGTTTCATGCTTATAAAATCCACGCTGTGGATGTTCCTGTCTTTTCTAACGAATCGTTGTTAATGTACGTCTAATGTGACGTACCCCGTGTTTTCTTCCCACGTACTAGTGAAGAGACCTAGACGAACCACGTCTCTTCACAATCCAGCGTGACGCGCCTTGTCTCTCTATGACCTAACGAGACGTACCATGTGTCTTTATGACCTATAATGTCTCTCTAGGACCTAACGTGATGTACAGCGTGTCATTTTAATTAACGGGACGTTCCAATATGTTCCTCATACATACTAGCATTGATTACATGGTTACGATTATGACCTATCGTGACGTGCCGTGTCTCTATGATCCATCGGGACGTAATGTGTCTCGATGACCTACCGTGACGTACCGTGTCTCTCTATGATCCAACGTGACGTACCATGCGTCTCTATGATCCAACGTGACGTACCATGCGGCTCTATCTTCTACCGTGGTGTGCAGTGTGTCTATGACCTAACGTGACATACCATGTGTCTCCAGGCCTCACGTGACGTACCGCGTCTCTCTACGATCCAACGTGACGTACCATGCGTCTCTATGATCCAACGTGACGTACCATGCGTCTCTATGATCTAACGTGGTGTGCAGTGTGTCTATGACCTAACTTGACGTACCATATCTCTCCAGACCTAATGTGATCTACCATGTGTCTCTTAGTCCTAACGTGAAGTACCTTGTATCTCTATGATCCAATGTGACGTACCTTGTCTCTCTATTATCCAACGTGACGTACCATGCGTCTCTATGATCTGACATGATGTGCAGCGTATCATTTTAATCATACTAACATTGATTACGACATATGATTGCATATTCTAACGTATTTGCAAAATCTCACATGGCGTACAATGGGTCTTTGAGATCTAACGCGACGTACCATGCGTCTCTATGATCTAACATGACGCGCACCTTGTGATGGAAAGCACGATGGTTGTTCTTCCATACTTCCAGTGGACCAGGGGGCACGGGTGGCCCAGTCGTCTAAGGCGCCGCGATTCGCTGTGCAGAGTTGCGTCCCTTGGGCACGCCAGAAACCTATGATTGTGGGTTCGAATCCCGGTTCACCCCGATTATGTTTCTAGGTTTGTCAGCACCATGCCCGTGCTCGTGGGTTTCACCGAAGTGGTAAACGTCTGAGACCTGCATCACTTCGGGCTTTCCTCCCACGTTAAGCTGACACGCCGCGATATAACTGGAATACTGTTAAAAGCGGCGTTAAACCCAACTCACTCACTCACTCACTCCAGTGGACCATGTGTATACGGATGGCGGCAGACAACCATCATGGCGTACCAGCCGATAGTGCAAGCGAATAAGGAAGGAAGATATTTCAAGTCCTGCAGCAAGTCTAATGAAGACTCATAAGAGAGCGTCTGACAGCCTCCCTCGAATTAATCCGGGTGTTATTGTCCACACGGACTTCCATACAAATCTGTCGCTCCCCGATCAATCACCCCAGGCCCACACAGGCCGGGAACTCCACACAGCGATGTTTCCCCAACACACAATCACATCCCCCAGCGACCGCCGATACTTCCAGGGTACAAAAGACAGGCTTATAAATATTCTGATACGATCTACAGAACCGTTTCCGATAAACCAGTTTTATGTCAAATAATTTGAGATTGATTTTGGAATTGAAATCTGCTTGAAATTGGTATGCACGCAATGCTGTTGTTGGTTTTGAGGAATTTTATCGCTTTTCGGGTAACTGGCTAAAAATCGACATTGTATAAACAGTATTAAAAAACACGGTAGCATTTCGAACTGACGGGCATCACACACAGAGATGCCCCAATTGGGCTTCCATACTTCACTCAGATTAATCAATGAGTTTTTCCTCGTGTTTATGAGCTAGTGAAGCTTAGCTCAAACCACGGACCTATACAAGTCCGTGCTCAACCGAACAACACTGAAGATTTGTTCAATGTATTTAGAGATTGTTTGCACAGGTTTACCAGTTGGTCCGAACAGGCTACCGTACATTCCGCGAGTAATCAATGACGTTAGTATTTCCATTCTACTCAGTCGGCTGAACCCTGTTAACAAACTACATAATCAAGGGAAAGGCAATCGACTCTGAACCGTCTAGAACAGCCCACAGTGGCCGGCCATCACAGCCCACAGCAGCTGATGAGAAATAGCCAATAGTTCCATTCCCTCTCAGTAACTAAAGCAAACAGCCTTCGAGTCAGCGGCAAGTCATGGACACAGCTTCAGCAGTGTAGTGTTTTTCAAAGTAGAAAGTGTTAATAAAAGCGCGGCCATTGTTCTTCTCCATGTAACACAGGGACTTGCTGTGATGGTTTGAAGTTAAGTTCATCCCAGCCGTGATGTCGTCATCACCACGTCCAGGCTCCCGGTTTTATCCATGTTACTCCATGCTTCCCTCCCACAAGAAGCAGACACGCTGTGTTAAAACAGAGCTATTGTTCAAACCCCGGAGATTCCGGGACGGGGTTGGTTCCTTATCATGCTGGTCGTAAGAGACAACTAAATAGGTCGGGTGGTCAGGCTCGGTGACTGTTGGTTATGTCATCGTAGCCGACGAAACAAAAAGGTCGTGCCACTGACACGTGACTTCAGTGACCTGACACGTGACTTCACACTCAGCATAAGGACTACCGTCGTGTTCAGGGACTTACTACACAGGACCGGAATATGTTTCACTGGCAGATGTTTATAAAGTACACATGTCTGTAATACAGACCCTGAAACAAATACAGCCCATGCAAATCTATAATGTTTGGCAGGTCTAGATTACTGCAGTATCAGAAAATGAAGAAAGTCTCTTGGCTCCTATTTATTTTATAAACATCACCTTCAACTAAGCACCCCTAAACACCACCCTAAACTACCCACCCCTAAACACCGCCCTAAACTACCCACCCTTAAACACCGCCCTACACTACCCACCCCAAAACACCACCCTACACTACCCACCCATCAACACCGCCCTAAACTAACCACCCCTAAACAGTAGTAAACACCGCCCTGAACTACCCACCACTAAACACCACCCTAAACTACCCACCCCTAAACACCGCCCTGAACTACCCACCCCTAAACACCGCCCTGAACTACCCACCCCTCAACACCGCCCTAAACTACCCACCCCTGAACTATCCATCCCTAAACACCGCCCTGAACTACCCACCCCTCAACACCGCCCTAAACTACCCACCCCTAAACACCGCCCTGAACTACCCATCCCTAAACACCGCCCTGAACTACCCACCCCAAAACTACCCACCCCTAAACACCACCCTGAACTACCCGGCCCTAAACATCGCCCCGAACTACCCCACCCCTAAACACCACCCTGAACTACCCAACCCTAAACTACCCAACCCTAACCACCGCCCTGAACTACCCACCCCTAAACATCGCCCTAAACTACCCACCCCTAAACACCGCCCTGAACTACCCACCCCCAAAATCCCGCCCTGAACTACCCACCCCTAAACACCACCCTGAACTACCCAACCCTAAACATCGCCCTAAACTACCCACCCACCCCTAACCACCGCCCTGAACTACCCACCCCTAAACATCGCCCTAAACTACCCACCCCTAAACACCGCCCTGAACTACCCACCCCTAAACACCGACCTTAACTACTCACCCCTCAACACTGTCCTAAACTACCCACCTCTCAACACCGCCCTGAACTACCCACCCCTAAACACCGCCCTTGGCAAACCACTCATTCCACCATCACCGACCCCACCGACATCTCGCTGTCACTAAAACTTCCTGATCATGTCTCCAAGGACTCTGGGCAACTCCATGATGCCTAATAAAGACACACGGAACATAGGTGCGTCTCCCCCCAGCCGGGAGACAGTAGGCCGACAGCTCCCCACACAACAGGTGCGTGGTAATATACTGGCACTGTAGAAACACACCATCACTGCGGGTACACATTAGGCATTGAACACCATCAGTCAGAGCTACAGATAAGCAGCGTATTTGCGTTAAATACCCCCCAAAATATTCAAACCCAATTACTTTTAATTAACTTGCGTACAGAAACGTATGTATTTAATCAAGAACTCAAATGTGTAAAAACAGCACGCGTAAATACCCAATGAAGCTTTTTCAACATGCGTACAAAGGAGCTAATTTCCGAAACACAATTACGAGCTAATTTACTATCCGAGTCAAGCCTATATATTTAGAACAGTTATCATGGTTATATACATCTAAAACGTAATTTCATTTTTTTAAATCTGAACTGTTCACTCTTTTTTGGAAATACCCAATAGAGTGATGAATAGATGAGTGAAAAAATGTTGGTTACCAATGAAAAATGTAATAACCCAATATAAATAGAAACCCTGGAGTAAATACTCAACTACTTAACAAGTTATCTAGACCTCTGACATCTCGTATCTCATTCACATCAATCAAAGTCCACAATTGCCTGACAAGATAAACACATCATCACCATGGTAACAGATACATTGCCACCATCATCATTACCATCACAGTCGAAGTCTTGTTGAGTGATGGAGGATAAATATACTACTCAAAAGAAATTAAGGAACACCCGATTCTTTCATATTACTGTGAGGGGCAGCCTAGTGGTTAAAGCGTTCGCTAGTCACGCCGAATGTCCGGGTTCGATTCCCGGCATGGGTACAACGTGTGAAGTCCATTTCTGGTGTCCTCCGCTGTGTTATTGCTGGGACATTGCTAAAATCGACTTAAAACAATTCTATATATCAGTATGGTTAATCTGCCACGGCATGACAGATTAACTATAGCAATAAGAAAGCTTCGAGTGTTCTTAATTTCTCTAGGGTAGTATACTTTAACAACTACAAAATTATTAATTGTTTTTCACTTTTAGTCGTGGGTACGGTCTGGCATATCCTGTTCAGCAACCATCTACAAAACCAGGGTCTTCCAACGCCCCCAAACATTTAGTCGGTAATAGTATACCCCCACTTGAAGGCGAATTGTTTTGCAGCAGATTGTTTAACTTTGGCCAAAGATCAGCATTATATAATCCGAATTTCTTCACTACGAAGGGTCTCCCGTTGTTAATCTTCTCGCCAGGTAATATGCATCGCTGCGCAGGTACGGAAGTGGAGCTGACATAAAACTATTTAACAGGTGACAAACCTTGTAATTGTGACATTCATCTATGTTTTATTTTTTTTCACCTAACCTGTACATAAAAGAGGAATACATTTTTACCAGTTTTCCTTACCCCAAGAAAATGCCTAAAGAGTCCTGAGTTTTTATAGACAAGATAAAAAAGTAAAAAGACAGATAACGTGCCTGCTGCATCCCACTTCGCCGTTATCACAGCGAGGGGCTGGTTCCGTGTTTGTCGAGTATCACGCCCAGTAGAGATGAGAATAGATATCTCTCACTGACCCACTGCACACCCTCTCTCAGGCGGACTAAACCGCCTGCAGCAGCCAGCACACTCGAAACAATGCAGTGCGTGAAAACTGTCCGGGAAATGTCGCCACTGACAGAAACACTATCTGTAAACATGCTTTATGTTCTGACCCTGGAACACTGGAACACCCGATAACGATAAGCTAAGTATGGATGCAAGTCTGTTGCATGTCGAGGAATCCTGGCAAAATGGGAACATGATTTGATACTCGAAGTTATTCTTTAGTTTCCGATATAACAAATACGGACAGCAGACAGTAAACGAGTACGACTGTACGACTGTACGACTGTTGCGATATACAGCTTCTCTACGTGATGTAATGCGTCTTGAATTCTTCAGTCGATAAAGAACATTTTTGCATGTCTGCATGATTTATTTATCTGCTGGTTCGGCCTCGTCTGCGAGTTTGTTTGTTATTATTATTAGTTACGTGATCATGTGGTTTAATGCTCAACAAAAGTACATGATCTTATGTCATTTAACCATTATTGCTGCATAAAGAGAAATTGCGGTCAAATCACCGTCAGCCTTCCCATCAAATGATAGTCTTGTTGTCCACCGATCTGAAAAACAGGCTATACGAGCTCGCACCACAGTCACGTGACAGCCATAAAATCGATATCAGCATCTGATCGGAACCAATGTTATTTGGCAGGCGTGAAATCAACGCCTGTTCCTAAGCGCTAGAATCATGTCACTCACAGACACGGAGACAACAGAGAGATTCTTACCTGTAGGGTATTCCTTGTCGGTGTCGATACAATCCAATCCGAGAAAAATCCAGTAAAATGTAAACCTGTTGGGGCGCTAGCAGACGACCGATTCCTACTCGTATTTTGCTGGGTGCAACCGCTAGCTAGGCCAGTCTATTTGTAAAAGTAGGGGGTGCGGGATGTGGTTTGGGATCCTCCCTACGCGGAATCTGAGCAATGCTGAATAATTCTCGCGTTTTTGATATCTGTCACTACTCTCTGCGAAACAGCCGCTACCGCTGCACCCATCCAAGATGGCGGCCGGCACGTGCGGGGGCAGACGATATATGGGTAGGACCTGCACACAATACGCTTTATACTGATCGTGACGTCATAATAAAGGTGATTTGCATAAATAAATTAAACGAGTGATTTTGACATATAGTGAAATATATTTATATTTCATAATTTATTTCTACGTTGTGTCCGTGGAAGAAGCTAGTGCACATATGGCGTAAACATGGTGTGGTTGTCGTCTGCTGTGATCTGCTGCTGAAGGCGATAACGTGACATGTTCATCTTTGAGTGACCCAGAAGTACAGAAGGGGACTGTTTTTGCCCGTCATCCCTCTATCAAACAAGATAAATGATGGAAAAAACTCAGTAATTAGTAAGCATTAGTACCACCTTTGGGTAGAACAACATGATGTGAAATGGGGTTTAACGTCGCGTTATTATTGCAGAATTCAAAAAATGAAAAAGAAGAAACAGAATTGGAAAAAAACAATCTGTCCCAGCCACCTGTCATCCAAAGTCTACTCAGGAAGGTGAGGTGAGGTGAAATTGGGTTTAACGTCGCGTGCAAGATTATTCCACTTATATAGCGACGTACATGCACGTGTGTGTGTGTGTGTGTGTGTGTGTGTGTGTGTGTGGCTGCTTGTACAAGTCGGGACTGATGCCGATTTATAGTGCTAGCTCACTGAGATGCATGCCGCAGTTTAACATGAATACCCCACTCAGATACAGTATACTGACTCCGAGCCGACCAGTCCTTGTTTCAACCCCTTATTGCCGAGCGCCAGACAGGGTAACAACAAGTACCATCTTTTAACCTCTTTTGGTATGACGCGGCCGGAGATCGAAAGAACAAATTGAAGAAACAGACAATGTCGGATGTGATGAGCTATCAGAACATATAACATTTGCAACGGACAATTTGTAATTTGAAATGGACAATCATTTCGTCTTGTCATATGTGTTTAGATAAGACTGACTGTTTTGAAATGCCATCTTTACTTAGTATCTTTACCATAAATACCAAAGGGAGCTTCTTTGAGACTGCGAGAAGAATACGTCCGGTAAAGCAAAGGTCTGAGGAAGAATAGGTCCGGGAAGAATAGGTCTGGGGAAGTATAGGTCCGGGAAAGCATAGGTATGGGAAAGCATAGGTATGGGAAAGCATAGGTCCGGGAAAGCAAAGGTCCGAGGAAACATAGGTCTGGGAACAATAGGTCTGGGGAAGCATAGGTCTGAGGAAGCATAGGCCTGGGAAAGCATAGGTCCGGGAAAGCGTAGGTCCGAGGAAGCATAGGTCTGGGAAGAATAGGTCTGGGGAAGCATAGGTCTGAGGAAGCATAGGTCTGGGAAAGCATAGGTCTGAGGAAGCGTAGGTCTGGGAAAGCATAGGTCCGGGAAAGCGTAGGTCCGAGGAAGCATAGGTCTGGGGAAGCATAGGTCTGGGGAAGCATAGGTCTGAGGAAGCATAGGTCTGGGAAGAATAGGTCTGGGGAAGCATAGGTCTGAGGAAGAATAGGTCCGATAAAGCAAAGGTCTGAGGAAGCGTAGGTCCGGGAAAGCATAGGTCCGGGAAGAATAGGTCCGGTAAAGCATAGGTCTGAGGAAGCATAGGTCCGGGAAGAATAGGTCCGGTAAAGCATAGGTCTGAGGAAGCATAGGTCCGGGAAGAATAGATCCGATAAAGCAAAGGTCTGAGGAAACATAGGTTCGGGAAAGCATAGGTCTGAGAAAGCATAGGTCCGGGAAAGCATAGGTCTGGGAAAGCATAGGTCCGGGAAGAATAGGTCTGGGGAGGTATAGGTCTGAGAAAGCATAGGTCTGGGAAAGCATAGGTCTGGGAAAGCATAGGTCCGGGAAGAATAGGTCTGGGGAAGTATAGGTCTATGGAAGCATAGGTCCGAGGAAGCATAGGTTTGGGAAGAACAGGTCTGGGTAAGCATAGGTCCGAGGAAGCATAGGTTCGGGTAGAATAGGTCTGGGGAAGCATAGGTCCGGGAAAGCATAGGTTCGGGAAGAATAGGTCTGGGGAAGTATAGGTCCGGGAAAGCATAGGTCCGTGAAAAATAGATCCGAGAAAGCATAGGTCTGAGGAAGCATAGGTACGGGAAGAATAGGTCCGGGTAAGCATAGGTCTAAGGAAGCATAGGTCCGGGAAAGCATAGGTCCGAGGAAGCATAGGTCCAGGGAAGTATATAGGTCCGAGGCAGAGAGAGAGAGAGAGAAAGAAAGAGAAAAGGGAATGTGTGAAAGAGTGGAGAAGGGGAGGGAGGATGAGAGGGGGCTACACAGGGTTGTATGTGTTCTCAGCGTTCAGATAGATAAAGCTGCCCCCGAGCGGTTTCAGCCACTGATAGTACCTGCCCTAGAGGAGAAAACTGCATGTTGTATATATAGACAACCATCACCCAGAGTTGGTAAAGGTTTCGACGCCGACCTCCCAGCCTGCCCTTGTGGGGAATAAATTGGGCGCTTGTGTTGATAATGACACGCGTTTGTGATATCATCAAGGATATAGTAATCTCAGAAATGCTGAGAATTCTGGCGTGTATCCCGCTTGTTGAACGCCTCCACAAATATTGCACCAACATATACGCTGATCGTTGAATCCAAATTGCTGATTGGACTGATTTAGATAACAAGCTTGAGCCATTTAATTTTATCTCAAATATACAAGATAATATATGTTTCAAACGTGTCGTCCGAATGTTAAATTTGCAAGAAGCCCAAGGTCGTGCGCATTAGCTCATTTATGAAACCAGGGTCAAATCTGAGATTTGCCAGCAGATCCTGGCTTCCAAAGGACGCAACTCTGCACAGCAGTTTGTCGCGAGATCGACCATAGAGGGATAGGGCTTTGAGTGACTGACTGAGTGAGTGAGTGAGTGACAGACAAAGCAAGCTGAGGCATAAGAAGCTGTTGGAGTATGTTGTTTGTATATAAATGGACTTTAATGTACTGGCTTGACAATTTCCCCGATTTTCTGTCTCAGTTATTCAATGAATGTCATCCCCGAACATGGTCATATCATATTATTGAATTACTTGTAACAATGCACTTTTTTTATCGTCGCCTTGACAAACAATCAAACCAAACATGGGGCGGTAAACAACTAACACATTATATATTTCTCAGGGGAAATTACTGAAAATGAGTTTCCCGATATCCTTCACCCTATGCATTCAAGCACCAGTTCGTCACACCGCAGACCAAGTGGGTATGATAGGTGGACTCCATCTCTCGGTGCCCTCGCTGTCTTGTGGCTGGAAGAGTATAAACAGGGACTGTTGGTGCCCTCGCTGTCTTGTGGCTGGAAGAGTATACACAGGGACTGTTGGTGCCCTCGCTGTCGTGTGGCTGGAAGAGTATAAACAGAGACTGTTGGTGCCCTCGCTGTCGTGTGGCTGGAAGAGTATAAACAGAGACTGTTGGTGCCCTCGCTGTCTTGTGGCTGGAAGAGTATAAACAGAGACTGTTGGTGCCCTCGCCGTCTTGTGGCTGGAAGAGTATAAACAGAGACTGTTGGTGTCCTCGCTGTCTTGTGGCTGGAAGAGTATAAACAGAGTCTGTTGGTGCCCTCGCCGTCTTGTGGCTGGAGGAGTATAAACAGAGACTATTGGTGCCATCGCCGTCTTGTGGCTGGAAGAGTATAAACAGGGACTGTTGGTGCCCTCGCTGTCTTCTGGCTGGAAGAGTATAAACAGGGACTGTTGGTGCCCTCGCTGTCTTGTGGCTGGAAGAGTATAAACAGAGACTGTTGGTGCCCTCGCCGTCTTGTGGCTGGAAGAGTATAAACAGGGACTGTTGGTGCCCTCGCTGTCTTGTGGCTGGAAGAGTATAAACAGAGACTGTTGGTGCCCTCGCCGTCTTGTGGCTGGAAGAGTATAAACAGGGACTGTTGGTGCCCTCGCTGTCTGGTGGCTGGAAGAGTATAAACAGAGACTGTTGGTGCCCTCGCTGTCTGGTGGCTGGAAGAGTATAAACAGGGACTGTTGGTGCCCTCGCTGTCTGGTGGCTGGAAGAGTATAAACAGAGACTGTTGGTGCCCTCGCTGTCTTGTGGCTGGAAGAGTATAAACAGAGACTGTTGGTGCCCTCGCTGTCTTGTGGCTGGAAGAGTATAAACAGGGACTGTTGGTGCCCTCGCTGTCTTCTGGCTGGAAGAGTATAAATAGAGACTGTTGGTGCCCTCGCCGTCTTGTGGATGGAGAGTATAAACAGAGACTGTTGGTGCCCTCGCTGTTTTGTGGCTGGAAGAGTATAAACAGAGACTGTTGGTGCCCTCGCTGTCTTCTGGCTGGAAGAGTATAAACAGAGACTGTTGGTGCCCTCGCCGTCTTGTGGCTGGAGAGTATAAACAGAGACTGTTGGTGCCCTCGCTGTTTTGTGGCTGGAAGAGTATAAACAGAGACTGTCTTCTGGCTGGAGGAGTATAAACAGAGACTGTTGGTGCCCTCGCTGTTTTGTGTCTGGAAGAGTATAAATAGAGACTGTTGGTGCCCTCGCTGTTTTGTGGCTGGAAGAGTATAAACAGAGACTGTTGGTGCCCTCGCTGTTTTGTGGCTAGAAGAGTATAAATAGAGACTGTTGGTGCCCTCGCTGTTTTGTGGCTGGAAGGTTATAAATAGAAACTGTTGGTGCCCTCGCTGTTTTGTGGCTGGAAGAGTATAAACAGAGACTGTTGGTGCCCTCGCTGTTTTGTGGCTAGAAGAGTATAAACAGAGACTGTTGGTGCCCTCGCTGTTTTGTGGCTGGAAGGGTAAAAATAGAGACTGTTGGTGCCCTCGCCGTCTTGTGGCTGGAAGAGTATAAACAGAGACTGTTGGTGTCCTCGCTGTCTTGTGGCTGGAAGAGTATAAACAGGGACTGTTGGTGCCCTCGCCGTCTTGTGGCTGGAAGAGTATAAACAGAGTCTGTTGGTGCCCTCGCCGTCTTGTGGCTGGAGGAGTATAAACAGAGACTATTGGTGCCCTCGCCGTCTTGTGGCTGGAAGAGTATAAACAGGGACT